AGTCAACTATTATTGCCTGTTAGCATGGGTCCTTGCTTTTAAAAAGTGATAATGGAAATTAAATGTAAAGTATGAATTTACAGGAAAGAGTTTTAATTTGGAAGCATGAGAAAATGGTAAGGGATTTAAGCTTGAGAAGCCCACAAAGATCAGGCAAGGGAGGACAAGAAAACTAGGAAAAGACTTTAGTTTGGCCAGGTGGAGGGGCATGCTCTGGTGAAGGGGATCAGACTGGCCCACCTGCAAAAGCCAGAAGCCTGCCTTTAGGCATTAGTCTCAGTCCTGGTTTCATAGCTCTGGACTCCTCATGGTTGGAGGGGCAGTTTGGTTCTGTGAAACGATTGTCTATATTTGTGGTGGTCTCCGTCCAGTACTGCTTTCCTGGAGTCCAGGTGACCACAAGTGTAGCACAGTGGCTGGAGACCGCTGAGTGAGTTGAATGTCCCTCCGAATTCCTATTGTGGTGTCCTTAATCTTGCAGGGAGATAAGATTGTGTCAATTCAGAGCTAATTAACCTTGTTTTCTATACTTGCAGATAGAAACTTCCTAAATGATTAACATACTGAAGGCAGAGTTGAGAAAGGATTCCACCCAAAGTTTTAAGATAACAAAGGATCAAAGTGAAGGACAGGCTTTGTTCTATTTTTAGTTACCTGGTGAGCATCTGTGGGCGCAAATGAAGGGTCACAGTTGGTAGCAAACACTATGTACTTCTAAGTTTCTGAGTCCTTTGAAGAAGAAACAGATTGCGCTGATGAGCAATCTGCCAAGGGCCTGGGAGCCCTTTCCATCCCTGTCCTCTGACGGCATCATTGTGAACTCAGGGGTTACTCTGCTGATGAGGATGGCACCTCCGGACCCCGCCCCTTCCCCTGAAGCCCCCTCTGAACATGTGAGACTTTGGGGAATGTTGTAGATCTAAACCATAGCACCAGCCATAAAACATAAAACTATTACTCTAACCTTTCCCTGCCTTTCTGTGAAAGCTGGCTGTAAAGAAATTCTCTGACCCACCTCCTCTGAGAAGTTACAGGACTCTTCTCCTAGGGTCCTACCTTATATCCAAGAGGAAGAAACACTGTGTCAGACAGGCCTTGCTGGATGTCCCACCCCCGTCCTTGCCGGATTGCACCCTCTGTGTCTAACCCTGTTTCCACTCAGCTGTCCATGCTCCATTAAACCATGTACATTACATATACGGATCTCACTGCGTCTTGGGTCTTCATCCCACAGGCTCCTGTGTCACATAAAACTTTAAGTAGGTTTGTTACGCTTTTCTCTTGTTAACCTGTCCTTTCCTGCAGAAGTGTCTGCTACCACCTTGATGAAGAGAAAGGTGTTGCGGCCCTTCTGCCCCTCCATGAGGGCCAGGATGGTCTCTAGGTAAAGCAGCTAGCATAGAACAGTGGGGAGACCCTAGAAAACGGGACAGCACTTGGACAGGGGCCCCTGTTTCTTATACTCTAGGGTTTTGCTAACAGGTGGGTTGGAAACATGGAATTTCAGAAATTCTGACTTTTCAAGAAACAAAATTTTTAAATGCAATTTTGTGTATGTGATGTTTCCAGGGTTTACATTTCATGTGGAAAGCAAATTACTATAGCCTTTTGATGCAGGGTGCTGGGGATTGAATCCAGGGACTTTGCATAAAATTACATCCCCAGCCCTTTTCCTAGTTTTTATTTTGAGAAAGGTCTTGCTAAGTTCCTGGCTTAAACTTGCCATTGTCCTGCCTCAGTCTCCCAGAGTATTTGTTTTTTTTTTTTGGTTTTTCTCTGGTACCGGGAACCAAACTCACGACCTTGCGCTTGCCAGGCAGGTGCTTTGCCGCTGAGCTAAATCCCCAGCCCCTCCCAGAGTATTTGGATTACAAATGTGTTGCACTATATCTCACTTAGCTTTCTGATTTTAATTCTGTTCACATGTAGATCTTGGCTGGTAGTTGCAGGTGATTCTGTCCATGCTGAAGAGGTAAGCATGCCGTGCATGCTTGTAATTCTAGCTACTCGGGAGGCTGAGGTGGGAAGGTTGCAGGTTCGAGGCCAGCCTGGGCTGCATGATGAGACTGTGTCAAAATAACATAAGAAGGGCTAGCGCAGTGACAGAGCATTTTTTATGCAAGGCCCTGGGTTCAATCCCTAGTACCACACATGCACACACACAAAATGTTTTAAAGTAGTGACTTTAATATTTAACAGCTACTTTGACCTTTGATTTTGAGAAAAATGTATTTCTAAGTTCCAAAGATCTCAACTATGAATAAACTTTCACTT